TGTTTCCCTGTCACCACATCACCCTTTCTTGCTGACTTGTCTCTTACTACCTATCCTCTTGATAGACGCTTTGTGACTCTGCACCTGGCAATGGTGTAACCTCATCTTGTGCGCAACAAGCGTCCAACCCCCAACAACCACCGCCTCTATGCGAGCGGTACTGCCGGGGAGGCCCCCGACGAAGCTGCAGTCGTTCAGCACTGCGCTGTGGGATGGGCTTCGCGTTATTGTAAGGCTCCCTACTGAACCTCCATGCGACATCCCTCGTTGTTACTTCTCTGCGGTTTCGCTGACCTATTGCCCCCGCGCGTCGTCTCGTATTAGGTGTACATTTCCGGCCAAGCACTGGTTATCCTCGGCGGTCCACACAAGCTCCTACAAACCATCTACGTCGACGATACCGATGTCTTAGAGGCAGTGACGATTGATGAAGTCTCCGGCAAGATTGCCGCGTGTGGTGGACCTGATGTCTTTATTTACCAACCATATGGAATCCAGAACGAAACGCTCAAGGTCGGTTCCTGCTGAGATGACACAGAGTGGAAATTGGTACAGTCGGACAAGAACAAGACCGAGGACAGTGATACTGAAAATGCTTCTCTTTGTATAGTGGTCCCTAGTGCAAACGTTCCGCAGCGATAATGACGACGAGACGATCCGTACCCTTTCGTGGGGCTCGCCCGATGAATTGCTTCTAGGAAATTCCCACCTTACCCTCTGGTATTTGAACGATCAGCCGCGACCGGTGTGGAAGCAAGCACTGGCAAGCACGGTCAAGTTCGCCCAGTTCTCCCCCGACGCGACGCTTTTGGTGACCGCCGGACATTATGATCGCATGGTGAAGGTCTGGCGAAGGCTGAACTTCGGGAATAACATTCGGTTTGAAGTGTCTTATCTTCCACATCCGACGGTCGTCACTGGGATTCATTGGCGCAGACCCTACCATAGGGAGCAGTCGATGGGCAATGTCTTCTACACGCTGTGCGCGGACAATAAAATCAGGGTTTGGGCGACGATAGACAATCATGCTTCGACTGCCTTGCAACTTTGGACGCAGATCGACATGGGCGCATCGGTTCAGCCGAGACATGCAACAAAGGATACGGATACCTCTCGTCGGTACGGCTTCATAGTTGACAGCCGGGATTTCTGCGTTGCGACCGAGAAGGCCGTCCTGCGTGGCACAGGCAACACGGATAATCACGCCTTGGAGCATATAATTGAAGTGGCAAACAAGAGCCCGGAAATCTGCGTTGTAATAGACGGCGAGGGACACATGTCGGCCTGGGCGTTGCAAGATGTTGGGTCGAAGGCCAAGGCGGAATTGAACGTGTTCAACATTCTCCATGTCGAGGGCTTGAATTTTGCGTTCATGCCTGGGTTGACGATTGAAGAGGACTATGCGCAGCTGTGCGCTTTCCAGGGGACAGAACCGGGCGACTCAATCGCCGTCCTAGTTCACCACTTCGACGGTCGGATTGAGTGGTTCGACTCGCCGGTCGACGTACTATTCGACCCAGCACCCCGCAAGAACCGAGTTGTCATGAGAGCATCATGGACAGGACACAATGGGCCAATCAAGAAGATTGTTCGTAATGCCATTGGAGATACGCTCGCCTCTCGTACGGATGATAGCAAAGCATTGATTTGGAGGCAGAAACAGAGAGATAGTGGATCAGCGCTGCTCCGGCAGTGTGCACTGCTAGCAGAAGAGCATATTCATCGCAGCTGTGTTGTCGGCGACGGGGACTTCCTTGTGAATCTTCATCATGATGGGATTTCCGTCTGGGATATTCGTTCATTCCATGCGACAAAGCTTGCAGCAGCAAAATTCAAGCTCTCCAGCAAACCACTCTGTGTCTTACCGATTCCTGCTGCGGAATCGAATGGTGTCGTGTATATAGCAACCATTGCGAGTGGCATGGATGGAATAGCTTGGGAGATACAGCTGCCCAACACGAACCTGGGAAAGCCCGAGTGCAGTCTACGCAAGTTCTGCACATTTCACCTTGGCATCCAAGAGGACATCGCCTACATTTTACCTGTTGATCCAGCTGGGCGCAAAGCTGAAATGACTGGCTTTTTCGATCTCTTCTCGCCGGATATTGCACTGTCATACACCAAGACTGGCACCGTCAGAACGTGGACGGCCAAGGTTGATAGGGACAACAATCGCGTCGATTGGCTCCTGACATCTACAGTCGAAACAGGCATCACGAACTTGTCACTGGCTAGTGGTAGCTCCATTCGGAAAGCTGCCCTGGTCGACGAAGATCGTACACATCTGACGATATGGGATACGAACGATGCACAGCTAGAATTCGAGGAGCACTTTTCGCAGCAAGACTCGATTCGTGACCTTGATTGGACATCTACCCCGGATATGCAATCTATCCTTGCAGTTGGATTTCCACACAAAGTCATTCTTCTCTCTCAACTGCGCTACGATTATCTTGATTCGCGTCCGTCCTGGACACAGATCCGAGAGATCTGGATCCGTGATCTCACACCACATCCCATTGGAGACTCCTGCTGGCTTAGCAATGGTCATCTCGCCATCGGAGCTGGAAACCAACTATTCATATATGAAAATGAGATCAGTGCTGCTGATCACCTGATATCTCAACTCCGTATACCTCCTCGTGGCCTTTCTACAGTTGACCTGTTTGATGTCGTGAGCAGACTCAATGGACCATTACCTGTTTTCCATCCACAATTTCTGGCACAGTGCATTCTTAGCGGGAAAACAAATTTGGTGCACTCCATACTATTGAACCTTCATCGGAAACTCAAATTCTACACGGAAGGGGACGACATCGATGGATTCCTGGAAATGTCTCTGGAGGACTTCTATCTCGAGCATGATGTATGTTTTGAATCATTAATCGCGATACCGTGTCACTAACAAGCCCAGACCCCACAGAAAGCGACTTCAAAAGAGCTCAATTCATCGTATGCGGACCTTTCCCTGGAGGATGAGGTGACCGTGGTGGATGAGAATATAGCTGTTGCGCTCAATGAGAATCTGGCACGATTTGCCCTACCGCAGCTGTCCAGCCAGGAACAATTCCGGCTTGTTGACACCGTTGAATGTGTGGCCACCGTTGAGAAGCACCGGCGCTCAATGGATGGCAATGCTGCTCGATATCTCCTCTTCTTCCGACAACATCTGCTGCGCAGAACTCAGGGAGTCGCCACCAGCGATACAGTGTCATGGAGAGAAACTGTGTGGGCGTTTCATAGCGGTAGCCAGGATATTCTGGTCGATCTGGTTTCGCGACAGTATGGTGGAAAAGTGGGTTGGAAGTCAGCTCGTGAGAGCGGCATTTTTATGTGGCTGTCGAACCCTGCTGCCGTGGTAAGCTTAGAGATCATACCGACCGATTTCCCACATAAGACTAACAGGTACCAGCGGGCCCAACTCGAGGTGGTTGCTCGAAATGAGTACACCAAGACCGAGGAGAAGAATCCAGTCGACTGCTCATTGTATTATCTGGCTCTCCGGAAGAAAAATATTCTCCAAGGACTTTGGCGCATGGCGCATTGGCATCGTGAGCAAGCGATGACGCAACGTTTGCTGTCAAACAATTTCGACGAACCGCGATGGAAGACAGCAGCACTGAAGAACGCTTATGCTCTACTTGGCAAGCGGAGGTTTGGTGAGTTTACCTCTACCCGCCGATGTTTTCGGGAGCTGGCCCTGATTGACTCTCGGTAGAATACGCTGCCACATTTTTCCTACTTGCTGGGCATATACGCGACGCTGCTCTCGTATGTGTGAATCAGGTGGGCGATCTTCAGCTTGCCATTGCCATCACCCGTGCATATGAAGGCGATGATGGGCCTGTTCTGAAGGAGCTTCTCGAGGAAAGGGTGCTTCCTGAGGCGGCTGTCGATGGCAATCGATGGATGGCTTCTTGGGCTTTCTGGATGTTAGGACGTCGCGGGATGGCCGTCCAATCGTTGATCGTGAGTCACTCACTCCTGCGACCCTAACGTGGCGAGAAATACTAATGATGAGAAGTCTCCCGTCGAGTCGCTCATACCTCCTACACCCTCTTCACCTGGGTCACCGGGGATGATTCCTCTGCAGGCCAAGTCGTACCTCTCCAACGATCCTGCGTTAGTCGTCCTCTACAAGCAGCTCCGCGAAAAGACCTTGCAAACACTCAAGGGAGCATCGAAAATCTCCCCGCAGGCGGAATGGAGTTTTGTCACCCGCAACGCTCGTCTATACGATCGTATGGGCTGTGACCTTCTTGCACTGGATCTCGTTCGACACTGGGAGTTCCTCGGTGGGCTACCAATCCCCAAACAGACGAAAGAGATTCCATTGGACCTGCAAGAAGAGGAGCCCGATTACCGGAAGCTTCTCCGACGCCGGAGTAGTCTCGTGGTGGCAGATTTGCCGGCCAAGGAGCGCCTGGCCCCTAAACCGCATACCCCGGCTGCTGCATCACAGAAGACGCCGAAACCGCCGCCCACGATGTTCCATGAGCCTGATGCGAACTCCCTACTTGACAGCTTTGGTTTTTGATTCATACTAGGTCTTCAGCGGCGGCAGTTATACTGCGTTCTATTGTGCGTTTATGCGTCCTAATTGTTCAGATCGGTTGACCTGCGGCTTCTCTTCTGAGTAACTCGTTCGGATTCTTTTGTCGAGGTTACTTGCCCGAAAAATAAGGGTGATATGGGCCAAGTTGCATCTGCGGACCCCCGTGTATATTAAAGTTCGTTTCTGACTCCGGTATGTGAATAAGCGGTTGTTATGTAAGATGACAATTATGGCTTTCGTTGTTGAACATAAAGCTTTATTATATTGTTGTATGATACATAACACTTCTATAGATCTGTGCACACTTGTACTGTACTCTCCAGACGCCACAAAAATCAATCACCCAATCGCTGAAAGGCTGGCAAATATACAAGATACACGAGGCCCAGAATATACAAAACTCAAATCAAGAACATCAACAGCAGGAAAAAGTGCAGAAATCGATTCACAGATTCGACAAGCGAGTGCGCGCCGCGCGCCGCAAACGCATCGACCGCGACAGAACCGGAGCCGTCGAGTTCGCCTTCCCAGCACCGGCATTGGTGGCGGCGGTGACATTTTCTAGCGCGGCGTGCAACTTCGAAAAGATCGTGGGTTGCAGCTTGGGGATGTCAGGGATGGCGGGGATATCGGGGATCTTGGGATCCGTGGACGAGGACGATTGTGACTGAGACTCGTCGTCGTCATCATCATCATCACCGTGAGGTTGCGCCTGTTGCGAGGGCTTCTGCTGACCACTACCGCCGCGACTGCTGCTGGTGGTGGTGCTGCTTTTGCCGATGCTTGTGCCGGTGGAGGAGGACTTCTTGTCGGTCTCGCAGTGCAGCATGATCCACATCTGCGAGAGGGAGTGGAACTCGCGCTCGGTGCAGGTGGCGGCGGCGCTGCCGTCCGCCTGGATGGGGACCTCGATCAGGGGCGCGTCGACGCAGCCCGGCACCTCGTGCACGGTCACGTTGCACCGGTCGTAGGGCCCCGTGTAGACGGCCTCGGCGTTGAAGGAGATGGCGTCGGCATTGTAGCGCCGGCCCACGGGGAAGGCTTGGCAGGTGCCGGAGTAGACGTCGATGACGACGGTGGCCGATTGGTCGTCCGTGCGCTGGAAGAAGGAGGCGAAGAAGTTGGCGAGGATGCTGTTGGTGTTGCTGGTGCTTGTGGTGGTGAGGTCATCGGTTGGTGATGATGGGGCCGGGGCGGAGGAGGAAGAGTCGTCGGCGGGACACTCGGTGTAGAAGCTTGCCCAGACGCGGGCGATGCTGAAGGCTGAAGTCTGGGTGGTGTTGAGGAGGAGGAGGGTGAGGATTGTGGTGACCTGTTGAGGAGGTGGGGGTTAGCTTAGTATTTGGGGAATGTGGTTTGGGTTGGTTGGAGGGAGGATGGTGGGGTGCTCACGGTTGACCACTGCATGTTGACGGTTGTGGGGTGTGGTTCTTGTTTGTTTTTGTTTTCAAGAGGGAGGTTGTGCAGTTCAAAGAACTGTGGAGATGATGGTTTGCAAAGACAAAGAGCTTGAGCTCAAGCCAGCGAAGGAAGATATAGTAGTTCTGTCTGGTGAAGATGCTGAATGAGATCTGATTGTTTCTTCTTCTCTTCGAACCACGAATCTGACCATCATTTTATAGCCTTCTGGCCCGTATACCAGCCTCTATGTTTATGCGACAGAAGACTTTCCACCTCCACGAGAAGGAATCTGTCAAGTGCATCATCTGCACGCCCAGCATTCCGGGGCAATCGGTTCATCGTCCATTCAAACGCCGCGCTCCCACATTCCCCGGCGATTTGCCATCGAGGCGCGTCCGATCATCGCTCCGGATCAAGTAATGGCCCTGACGATCTTGACGTTTTCATCTGGTGCGAATCTGCGCCGCACATTCTTCGGCAGGGTTAGTCGTGTCGTGGCATTCGAGATCGTGGTGGCGCGCGGGTTGCCAACCACATATTCAGGCGCAGCGCGTCTGTGGGAGATGGAGAGAGTGTGAGTGTGGCAGGGAGAAGCTTCTGAGATTTCAGGTAGGTGAGAAATAACTAGTAAGCAGTGTGTTGGGAGGTAGGATACTGAGACACTCACATGTAAGGTGTTAAGGTGGTGGTGTGTAACTATAGTTTAGTCTTTAGTCCAACCATAGTTCCGCACTGCCTGAGGCCATGCGTCGGCCTCCCGTCCCAATGTGTCAGTCAGTCAGCACTGTTTTGCGCCCAAGCCACTTACTTGCATACTATCGTCTACCTCAGCTCGACTTACGTGCATCGCTGGCCCACTTACTCACAGCCCTTGCCTGCCTCCTGTCCATCTATGACGATCGGAGAGAAAAACACACACACACACACACACACCCACACCCCACGAATGCTGTCCTTTATGCTGGAGCCGAAGAGGTCTATCGGCGATTTAGGGTGCCACAAACTATGGGAAAGATGATGTCGATCAGGAGTGTCCTTGCTCATCCGTGAACTATAAGTCGGCGCCAACCTCGTGAATCGCTAGTGGAGGAGTCAAACCCTCCGCCGACACGACGAATGATCCAGGTCACCTTTTGAGTTGTTCGGGCACTATATGTACGTGGTGTCCACCTCCCTCCGACGCTACAATAGCTCAATTTCCCCCGACTTCACCTTCGAAACCAACGCCAATTTTGCTCTACGTTGCTTTCTGGGCGACAGAAGTCTCTGAAACTGTTGATTCTCTATCATGGCCAAGACAATCGAGTCTTATACTGATGTGTACGTTTTCTTCAATTCGCTTTTGAAAGTCTGTCACTTACTGTTGCGCAGGCTGATCATCGGGGCAGGCCCATCGGGGCTGATGGCTGCCTACTGGATGGCGCGCTGTGGTGTTAATGCTCGCGTCATCGACAAGAAAGGGACCAAGGTCTTCAAAGGCCATGCAGATGGACTCAGGAGCCGAACCCTGGAATTGCTCGACAGTATTGGCGTTGCCCAGCGGGTCCTTCAAGAAGGCCATGAAGTGTTTAGTATGACGTCTTGGGTCAGTATCTTACAAACGCAGGACTCAGACCACACAACTGACCCTTCGATGTAGGGGCCTGATGAGAACGGAAAGCTGTGCCGCCAAGTTACCACGGACTTGGAACCTAGTCCACCATACGCTATCGCTGCGCTGAGCCAGGGTCGTATCGAGCGTTTCCTCTTAGACGCCATCGCAGAAAATTCCAACCTCGAAGTGGAGAGGGGCGTCATCGGCAAGTCGTTGGAATATGATGAAGAACTTGAGAGCGATCCACATGCGTATCCTATCACGCTCAAGCTGAGGACACTTAGTGAGGAAGAAGCCTCTCCGGCGCCGGCTCACGGTGTCTCGGACAGGTCTCTCAATCATGCGGTGGATGTTGATGATCAGAAGGACACGATTCAGCGTCGCAAGCACAAGGTTGGGACGGTTGAGACGCTCAGGGCCAAATATGTGATTGGCTGCGATGGAGCGCACAGCTGGACTAGGAAACAGCTCAATATCCCCTTCGAAGGCTCGACCACAGATCACGTATGGTAGGTGAGCGAAGCGCTGTCGTTCACAAAGCTTGCTGCTGGGAACTAACATTGTACTTGTGCTCCAGGGGAGTTATTGACATCGTTCCCATCACAAACTACCGTCAGTGTCCAATTCCACGCAAGAAGGATGACTACGATGCTAATATGATTTACAGCGGACATGCGTCGGATTGGAAGCCTAACCAATGCATCAGGCACAGTGCTCATCGTCCCGAGAGAAAAGAACCTGGTCCGCTTTTATGTCCCATTGCAGGAGGAACACGAGGTTTCTCAGAAATTTGATCGGTTGGCAGTGACCCTAGAATCAGTCCGACAAAGGGTGAAGAAGATAATGAGTCCTTTCTATTTCGACTTCGATGTTTGTGATTGGTGGACCGTATACCAGGCATGTTCAACCCTAGCCCCATACCTGGACTCATCAATAACTTGTGGCTTCTTGGTCTGTGCCTTCAGGTTGGTCGGAGAATTGCACAAACGAACGCTAAGGGTCGCGTATACTTGGCTGGAGATGCAGTTCATACTCACTCGCCTAAGGTGGGCATGGGCTTGAATATGAGCATGCAGGACGGATTCAACATTGGCTGGAAGGTTGCCCTTGTTGCAAAGGGACTAGCAAAGCCCTCGATCCTCGATACCTACAAGTCCGAGCGTTACCCCCTGGCCGAAATGCTCCTTGACTTTGACCGTCAATGGTCTGCACTTTTCTTACAGCAGGAACAGCAAAAGAGTCACGCAGCCCCGGTGGCACAAGAGACATTGATAGCGATGAGGGACGTTCTGCGCAGGACAGAGCACTTCTCTCAGGGCCACACTTCGTATTACCGCGAGAGTCCATTAGTCTGCAAGCAGTCAAAGGCAGTAGCCCAACACCTTACCCCCGGCGAGAAACTTGTTCCGGTGAGACTTCGAAGTCAAGCCAATGGTCTGCCTTCGTGGACCACGAAGATGCTGGAGAGTGATGGGCGCTTCCGGATCCTGCTTCTAGCTGGAGACGTGCGAACAAGGGAACAAGCAAGTCGTGTATGGACATGCGGCGATGGATTGGCTCGTCTGCTCAGGCAATTCACCCCGGCCAAAAACAAGCTTGACTCAATCATCGATGTCAAAGCGATCCACAGCGCACCCTTCGCGGATGTAGAGTTGGATATGTTTCCCAGTGTTGTGTACCACTTCGATGAGAATGAGGGCTGCGACCTTACCAAGGTATGGAGTGATAGTGCATGTAGTTGGGGCCAACAATCCGACGGTAAAGGGTACGAAACCTGGGGAGTAGATCGATTGAGGGGAGGATTGATCGCTATGCGGCCCGATCAATATATCGGATGGATGGGTGAGCTGGAGGATGTCGCTGATTTGGCTCGCTACCTCCAGGGGATATTTGTGAAGAGGGAGGTCCGCCCCATGCTGTAAGCAGTTTTCATGAAGTCGTTCGATTGCTTGACCAGACTGCTTGAATCCGGGCTCATGCATGCGATTTTCTAATTATAGTCATTCGATGAAGCTCGTGATAACTAATGCACCTGTGTGTAATTGACTCGAAACGTGGAGGCGATGAGAGCCGAAGCGCTTCGCCCGGACACGGTGGGTCAGATGTCACTGATAAGGCGCGGAAGGAAGATCGAAGAGGGGAAGAAATTCGAGTCAGTATAAGAAGTTTGACACTGTCCCTCAACCACCGACGAAGTAGTCCGTCTTACTGTACACATCTCTGAGTGACTCAGCCGCAAGAATGACGCAAACCTCTCCCACCCACCATCACATCGTCTACCTCCAGGGTGATTTCGTGGAGATCCTCGACTTCGACCTTCCCGCCCCTCACACCTACACCAAGACCGTCTACCCGCAGACCTCTCCCCCAGAGCTCCACGAGCGCATCCACGATGCATCAGTGATCGTCCTCTCCGCATTACGCATCGACGCCAACGCCCTCGCTGCCGAGGTCAGCCCGAATCTCAAGCTGGTGATGGTCGTGGCGGTGGGCACCGACTGCATCGACCTGGAGGCGTGTCGCAACCGCGGCATCGTCGTCTCCTACATCCCGGGAGCCAACACCGAATCCGTCTCGGAGCACGCCATCGCACTGCACCTGGCCGCGCGCCGGAAGATCCTGGGGATGAACGCCCTGACGCGCGCCGGCGAATGGCCGCGGCGGAAGACGCTGATGTTCGATTTCCTCGACAAGGCGGGGGCGCCCCCCTTGACTTGTCAGGAGGAGGTGGCGGGCATCATCGGCAATGGGGCCGTTGGTGAGATTGCTCTTTGACCTAGGAATAGTTATTGATTCTTTCATGTGATGTGTTCCTGATAGTCAAGAAATAGGTAAGCGAATCGCCCATCTCGCCCGCGGCATGGGGATGAAAGTGATCATCTCCGACCGCAAGCCACTAGGTGACGGGACGACGACATCTACAACTATCGGCAAGGATGGGCTCGAACGGGTTCCGTTCGAGATCGTCGTCAGGCAGAGCACGGTCCTGTTCGTGGCGGTGCCCCTCCTGGACTCGACGCGGAATCTCATCTCGACGGCCGAGTTCGAGGCCATGTCGCCCCATGCGGTGCTGGTCAACGTGTCGCGCGGGGGCGTCATCGACGAGCCCGCGCTGGTCCGCGCGTTGACGGACGATCGCATCTCCGGCGCAGCGACGGATGTCTTCTTCCAGGAGCCCGCGGGGCCGGACAACTCGCCTCTGCTGGCTGAGGGGACCGAGGGGCTGAATCTGATCGTGACGCCGCATCTGGCGTGGCTGGCCCAGAGGACGATGGCAAACTACTCGCAGCGGCTGAAGCTGTCGGTGGAGGAGTGGTGCAGGGGGAGGCCTTTGAATGTGGTTACTTAGCTCTGCTGATAATTCACTCGACATGACCATAGAGATTGCACTTAGTGATGCCTGTTATTCACTAATTACCCTGAAGTATAAGATAAGTACACAAGTAGTCAGTAGCGGAATGTGGCTTGAGTCGACTAATACTGGTAGACTGTTACTAGCTATTCTAATCGACGGAAGCTTCTAAAAATGATTGAATAGCACGGTCAGATAGTAGTTGGCTTATATTATTTAAAAAGTCACCTGGATATATTTAATAACATCCAGTAATAGTTAAAGCCGGAGAAAGTAGTTTTCCGTCGCAGAGTCTTTTCTAGATCCCAACCTATCTTTAATCTAGGACCGGAGCAGTTAGCTGCAACCAAACTCCAAATATCTTAGCTGCTTATTCCACCAATATCCACATAATCTTGACCATCAGTATCTTTCCTTGTTACAGATTTTGTTTTGTGCTGTTGTACCAATAATCAATCATTTTATTGGAACAAATTCTGCGCTCAGTAGCTTGTTCAATGTATACAAGATATTGGCACGAGCAGAACCAGATTTACATCAGAGACCCACAGTCGGCTGCAATTCGTATGCAAAGTATTTTATCTAGTAGATTACACGTATAAATTCCAGTTTGCATGACTTGACCCTATTATCGGTGCAGTCTTTCCCGAAATGCCTTGCTACTTGCTCCATACATACGTATTCCCCAGCCATCAAGGTCTGCTACTTAGGATTTTCTTCCCAAGGAGACGGGTGTTGATCCAAGCAGACTGACTGCCTGGTGCCCAGAACTTAGTAGTAGGCGGTATGGGCCTGGCTCTAACGGTACGGTTGCGGACAATCTGTTAAAACAAAACGAGGGGGTACTGGAATTTCCATCTAGATAATACGAGAACATCAAAACTTTATGCACATCTATGTACCTTACAAACACAAACCCACACGCACATGCACACCATCGAGAGCGCCGCCTCATCACCACAAACACACGACCATCGGAGTGATAGATGTGACGTCCACGCCATAACAGTAGACGGTGTCCTTGTTGCCTGCAGTCTGGCACTGCACGGGGGCCGACAGAGCGGGGCAGGTCAACGTGCCAGGCCCGTCGCTCGTGCCGGAGTAGCTGCAGCCACTCATGCCGTCGACGTTGAAGCCCAGCGTCCAGTTCCCATCCGGATACGGATATCCTTCGCTATCCTCGTCGTTGGGCGCGAAGATCTCACCAGTGCCGTCGCACGCTTCCAGAGTTGCCCCAATTGCAACATCGAAAAACTGCCAACTGAACGGGGTGAGGGAACTGGCATCTTCGGCAAGTGCGATCACCACTTGTGCCGTGGGGTCGGGAGACGGCGCGGCAGTGGTAGTAGTGGTGGTGGCGCTCGACGTGCTGGACGATGAAGTGGTGGTGGTGGTGGTGGTGGTGGTGGTGGTGGTGGTGGTAGGTAATTCGCAAATCTCATCGCCCAGGTCGCGTTTGGCGCTGTCCAGCTTCGTCCAACTCAAGGTGATGGATTTGGAACATATGTGTTCTGACGTGGATTCTAGCTCGAATTGCGTGACCAAAGTGTTGAATGCTTTCTGTAACGCGGTGAGCTCTGAGATGCCAGCATCTCCGGCCCCTGTGGCAACACTCGCAGCAGTGATGAAGCTCGCGTCCAGGTCTTGTACCATCAGGTTCGCCGTATTCAGTCCCTCTTCCATCATGTCCACCATACGAGCAGTCATAAAGTCTCGATACAGGGTAGCTAGGTTAGTACTTTCCAGTTCTTTATTGTCCGCGGTATACTCGTCGACTGCGAGACTGGATTCGGGTTGGGAACAGTCCTTAGCTTCTTCTTTCTTTTTCCACATGACTCGAGGTCGGACGGTAAGAGTGGCGCGAACTTACAGCTCAGTATAGACTTTGTTGTTGGTCGAGTCGAGCACGGGGGTCAGCCACGGCTCCGTCCAGACATAACAGCTCATCGCCAACGTTTCCAGGAAGTTCAGCTTCGTGGCTAGCTTTTGTCGAACCCCGATCTCATTTTTCTCCGGACCCCACGGCATCGTAGCCGAGATCCTGTTCCTCTTGACTATATTGTCTTTGACGCCGGGGATGGACTCGTAGCTCCCGATCTGGTGGATTTTGTTAACTCTCTGCTTTCGGTGGACTTAAAAGTCCGCGTCAAATCGCCTCTTTGCCGCTCTATCGGCCACTCGCTTCGATACCAACAATGGGAGAGTTGGCGGACGGTTGTAATCAAAAGGTACTTACCAAGCCTTTGTAGTCGCTATTGACCTCATGAGTCATACCGATGAAATCCCATTCCTTATTGTTCGCCACCGCGTTGAAGACCTTCTGTAGGAGATTGGTCGAGCACCCTTCGCCGAACATCACGCTGTTCATTAGGTCGCAGTTCCATTTCCCTTGGCCGATGATGGAAGTCCAGAAAGCATTGAACCAATTACGCTCCCCTGTTGTGGCGCAATGCGGTTAGAAATCTTGCAAGTACCATGAGTTGCGTCCACAAGGAAAAAAGCAACAGCCACCGAGGGAATACGCGCGAAAAGATCGAGCCAAGGGGTTTGAGTGTGGCGCTGCTTCGAAAAACTCACAAACATGGTCATTAGTGGGTTGCTGGGCTTTGCCCGGGCTATTCTTGCTGTTGGTACTCATAAGCTGGTCACTGATCTGTGTCACAGTCGGGACACAATTCTCGACTGTTTTTGAGTACCACCTGGGCATATTCTCCTGGTTGGGTTGAAGTTTGTTGTTGAGTGCACTCTTCAGGAATGAGGGCCCCCCTAGCCATGTCAGCGTCAGGGGAGTAGGCAAGGCGCAGCCGCCTATGGTAGCGGACGTAATTGGATTGAATTTGGGCTTTGCTGCTCGCTTGTCGGGTGAGGGGGGCTCCATCATGGCACGGTAAGCGGTAGGCTCTGCATATCGCTTTTCCAGATTATAGTCCGTCTCATCGGTCGTCAGGGGCATTTCAGCCCAGGCACACGGGCTGCAGCCTTCGAACCGGTCCTCACCAACGGTAGCAGGCGGGGTGGTAGTGAAGGCCGGACAGGCAGCGTCGCTGGTAGAGGTCACGGTCCTGGTAGTCGCTGTGGCGTCGCACCCGACGAAGGGATAGCACGTAGATAATGTGCACGACGTTGTGGCCAGTGCCACCGCATTGGTAGTCACCGTGCAGTATTTGACGCAATTGGTCGCGGTGGTGGGCTCACATGAGGAGATCGAGCAGTCGCCGTTAGGGCAACCGGTATCCCCACAAGAGCCATCCTCACAGCCCAGGCCGCCGCACACCTC